AGGTGGACAAATCAAACACCTCCTGGTGACACTGAAATCTAATGTTAACTCAATCTCATATCCTCCTGATGAGAACTGAACTAAACTTGTTACATCAGCGAGTCCCCAAATCTCCACATTTCACTACTTGAGGTTTGAGCAACAAAAGGACAAAATATATTTTGGGCCAAAACAAATGAACACATGGAAAGTGCTTGCATTGTTAATCAAGATAATTGAAGTGATAAGAATAAGAACTAACCTGAAAACTCAAGTGCAAATGCAAAACAACAGAAGTTTTACTTTTGCTCTCCTAGTAAAATTGGTAAAGAGAGCATGTTGTCAAACTCCACATAGATTAAGTTCCACAGCAGCAGTGAGCCTCAAAGAAGGTATTACATGTTATATGTTGCATTACTGAGCAAAGAAACCATATCAGGAAATGCATTTAACAGCATTATCAAGAACAAACTGACGTTAACGGTATTTCAAAGGACAGAATCTAAAAGACCACTAACACTGTTTGTCACAGATATTAAAACACAAGGTGAGGCAGAGATAAGCTTTTCATTTTAGATGATGTAGTAAAGGTTTATACAGCCCCGACCTTTTAAGGGTCACTGTCCTGTTGTGCTCTCTGCCTTTATCTCTCATGTTTAACAGCCTGGCAAATATACAGAATCTGCTTGAATCTTGAGTAAACTTCTTTCCCCACACGCCGATGTATATGTCAGTGTTTGCAAAAATCAGAGAGAGTTTGTTGAAATTTCTTCTTCCCTTTTTGTTGTAGTTTTGTAATGATATCACCTGACCTTTCATTTACAGCAGGCTCCAGCCCAATTAAAGAGATTACACTGAAAGTGGCGTATCATAATCAGAAGAACAATTTTCACTGAAACAGAGAACAACGATATTATAATAATGTTCACCCGATCTACACAACTGATCTTTAAAACACTAACTTCATGTCCATTTCAAAACCCTTGGACATTAGCTCTCGATTGCAAATGTTCCTGCTTTGAGACACACGTCAGTCATTTTTAAAGGGACAGTTCACCGAAAAACTATACTCCACCATGCCGATGGAGGGATGGATGAAAGTGTTTGAGTCCACAAGACACTTCCGGAGTCTCAGGTGTAAACACTGTTGCAGCCGGATCGAATACAATAGAAGTCAATCGTGATCTCTTCTTCAGACATAATGAAACATAACATGCCTCCATACTGCTCGTGTGGCATCATCGAAGTGTCCACAAGCCCCAACATTCACATTTAACTCAAAATGCTGTTATTCATATCATGTTTTTAGCTCACAGACCCTCAGACACTTGGATGACACCGCACAAGCAGTATGGAGGCATGTTGTAGTTTTTTCTGTTGTTTCATTAGATCTGAAAAAGAGGTCACCTTGGCTGAAACTCTGTTTACCCCGAGACTCCTGAAGTTTTTGTGGACTCAAACTCTTCACCCACCCCTCCATCCATCTTTCCACGGTTGATCCATCCTCTAAATCTTCCCCAAACCTCACCACATGCAATGAACAAACCATGTAAAAATCCCTTTTGGTAAGTGCCGCCTGAGGGTAAACAGGGACGCTGGTCTGTCACTGTTCAGCCAGTGTGAATGTAAACACCTTCAAACATCCTGCAAAAGGAAAGTCAGCACTTAAACTTCACAGTCAGTTCTTTTTGAACCCAGCGTGGTGAAGCTGAGCCAAAACAGCTCCCTGTGCTGACAGCCTGACTGCACTGTGAATCAATTAGTCTTGTTGCTCGTTGTATAAAAACATGGACACATAAAAAACACATCCCGGAATGTGGAATTTTAACTTTTGCATCACATGACCAATCAACATTGTGATTGTCTTGGTCTGTTTAATTTGGCATGAACCGGTGTGACTTCATGTGAAACTGTCAGCTGAATGATGCTGTTAAACATCAGGTGTGAAAGGTGCCTCAGACCACGGTTCAGACCAACGGACCAAAATTTAATCCAACCAAAAGAGGTGGTATCGGTCAGGATCAATCAGAACCAGGGTTTGTTTCATTTGCAGCGTGGAAACTATTTTTTTAATTGTTTGGATTTTCTGAACAATGGCAGGAAGGTGAGGCAGCATTTAACAATGGAAGAAAAAGACAGTGGCTCACAGGATTGCATGGAGGACTTTGATAGGTGATGACGACACGACCTACGAATGTCATGAAAAAAATCTTGTGTCCTTACGATGTGAAACCAAAACTAACCAGATGGAATGCAAACAATGTAAGAAAGGAATGAACCCTGCTTCAGACTTTCAGGTTCGAAAAAGCTTCAGTATAATTATGTTTTGTTTAAGACAAACATGTCATTTTAATGAATGAGCGCATAACAAGGTAATGGTGGGCCCTGCCATACACTGGTGACCTGTCCAGGATGTACCATGCCTCTTGCTCTAGCCCTCCCGAGACCCTCAATGGACAAGTGGTACAGATCATGGATGGAGGGTTTCCAAGATCTGCAGCCCACCTCTCACACAACACTGTTTCCTGCATCCAACAACACAGTGCAACAAATAACAAACACTGTCAAACGTAGACTGTCAGTTTCATTACATATTCTGATTTGCAGGTGCCCTTTCCTACTTCTGCCTCGATTTGAGTTTTCCTCTGAGAGTCTAATATATTCAGTTCTCTGCATTAGAGAGGCAGCAAACACACGACGTTTGAAAACCTGAAGCCAGAGGATGCTTCGCTGACTAATGTGGCAACAGATCATAATGAATACTGTTTGTCACACAAGCCTCGAGTTGCTGGTTTTCCAACCCTATCGCAGAGATGACCTCAGGTGCAAACACATGGGACTATCTACTGACGGTGTCACAGCCATGTTTATGGTTCTGAGTGCTCCGGAGCCACTCAGGACCAGTGTGACCTAAAAAAAGGAGCAGCCTGCGGAGGGAGGACAAGCTGTCACCCGGATCCTAAAATAAACACCCTGCACCGAGACGCTTCCAGGGGATTTGTGAATGGAAAACCGACCCCACCGCCCCGAGCATCATGTGGCGACCACTGTCTGTGCTGCCGGACCACAGACACGGTGTCTGTCCACAGGGGGGGGGACGACGACGAGGTGAAGTCCTTCCCCCCCAAAAAAACTGCAGCAACTGTCCGTGACGTTACATCGTTAGCTCGGCCTGTTAATCAATGTAGCAGAAAGCTAGCTGACGGCGACACCGCTCTGCGTGCTAACACTTAGCACAGACAGCTGCACAGCGATGAAGCGTGAAAACATCTCATCTTTAAAAAGTAAAAAATAATAAACCTCCAGTCCCAACACACACACACTCACTCACACACACACACACAGGCGGTGCTCTCCACCCGGCTGGTGTGAGTGTGCCTGCTAGCTTAGCTAAAACAAGCTAATGACACCAGCTAGCAGGCTAACTGTCACAGAGAAAATAAAGAGTCTGTTTCTCATCAGCACTCACATGTCACGATCGGCTTGTTTTCCATAGTATAGATGATGGGTTTTTCCTCTTGACTCTCCATATGTGTCAGCGGCGGGACTCCATGAAGAGGACATACAAACACAGCTTTATTATTAGTAAGTGCTTATGTGAGCACTGGCGTTCAACCGCTGGGGCCCGTGTCCCCACTGCACTTCCGGGAAGTACGTCGTCTGTGCGTCATTAAAGGACCGACCCGTGCTTTTCCGGAGTCCTACCTTTAAACGGACAAGGTCTTCAAGGAACAAATATATAAATAAATATATAAACAATAAATTACTGGTAAAAGTGTTTCACTGTTAAGTACAATTATCAGACTATAGAAATACCAAATTACTTGTTAAAGACCTGCATTCACAATGCGGCGTTAACACAATCACTCCACAATACAATAAAAGTATAAATACCACACAGTGAAAAATATTTGATTACAGATGAAATCACAAATATTACACTGTTAAAAAAACGACCATTATTATACTAAAAATCATGTAAAGTACAAATAGCACACTATATATATATAAACAATAAATTCAACTGGTAAAAGTCTAACACTGTTAAGTATAATTATCACAGTGTACAAAGAAAATTGTAGTCAACACCCCATGAAAATACTCAATTACAAGTAAAAGTAAAATTATCAGACTATAGAAATACCAAATTACTTGTTAAAGACCTGCATTCACAATGTGGCTTAAACACATCACCGCACCATACAGAATACTCCAATACAATAAAAGTATAAATACTCAGTTACTCGTAAAAAGGCGAGGGTCTGAGCTTTAGCGCTCGTGGTCCAGAAAGTCTGTTTGGGGTCAATCGACGTTCCAGTGCAGGGACTTAATTCTCTATGTGCATGGTTCTACTAACTTTCTTCTGACAAAGTCTGTCCTTCATTTCATTTTTTGAGAAGGGAAAAAAGGTAGAACATTGAACAAATTTCCAACTTTGTGGATTTAAGTGCACCTCTGTAAATATTAAGGATTCTTTTGTGGCCTCCTCTTGGAAGGGGTATCTTGAGGAATATTCAAAGACGGCTTCCTAAGGGATATCCTCACTATAGTTGACACAGAATTGAAATAAAACCTTTTTTCTACAAGGAAAATAGACACTGTGATACTTGAATGGAACTCTCTCACATACAGGCAACTCACCTCCATCTCTGCAACTACTGTATAAAATCCAACATGCTTTTTCTCCGCGCTGCCACCAGTCGTCAGCGTTTCTCCCTAAACTCCACTCTATTCTGCCACATAGAGGATCCCTGAAGCAGATCACATCACACAGGGAGTGTGCAGAATAAATAACCCTCATCTGTTTAACAATATTCTAGATATTGATTCAAAGACTTATTAACCTCAGTATGAATTAACCAGACTGTAGCTCCTGACCCCTATCATCTTATTATTCCTACTCATGTGATGAACGTTTACAGCTTACTCACAGCAGGAGTTGTTGCATCGGGTAAAGTGAGATGCTGTACTTGACAGAACTGTTATCAAGATGTAACATTGAATAAACCAGGAGTTCAGAGTATCATGTCAGGATTTGTGGATCTTGTCATGTGAATAAAATAGATTTTTTTATTTTTTTTATTTTTTACAATTTACAAAGAAGAAACCTTTCCACCAATTCCCCTTGTTTAATAACTTAAAACAATTTACTTTAAAAACAAATTGCCAAACAGGAAAAGATTTTATGAATGTTGTTGCTATGAGCAACATCAGCACCCACCACAACCGTGACTGTCTGTCAGTCCGATATTGTAAAATGCAAATAATTTGTCACACAAGTGTGTGAGGTTCTTTTTCTATATCACCAGCAACAAAAGTGAATTTCACTGGTAACAAATGATTCACCACGGGTAAAAAAAAAAAAGTTCGATCCCTCGTCTCCTTCATCCTGGTGTCATCAGTCGTCCTTTTCCTTCCCTGCGTACCTGTTGTCTCAAACCAATCTTTAAAAAACACACCGTGTCGTGTCAACCAATCCTGAGATCCTTTGATTTTAGATTTATTTTTTCTTGTCTTCATCTTTCTGCCCCTTTCCTCTTTTATCTTCTTCAGCCTTTTCTCTCTCCACTTCAGATTCTCTTTCTCTGCTTTTATCCTCTTTCTTTTCTTCAGGTATGATCTCAGCTCCGTCTCCCTTCCCGGGCCTATCATCTCCTTTTTCTATGGTTATGTCTCCATCATCATGTTTTTTCTTTTCCTTGTCATCTGGGCCCTTCTGCCCAGATTTATCTCCCTCAACCGGCCTCTTTACATCTTCTTTTGTGCTTTTCGTGCTCTCTCCGTCTCCCTCCTTCGTCACATCATTACCATCTTCCCCCTGTCCCTGTTTTTTCACCTTTGGATCTGAACCCTCCTCTTCTTCACCTTCTGCCTCTTCTCGCTCCCACTGAAACTCCCCTCCCACCCCTTCACCTCTTCCCTCTGCTATTGCTGCCTCTTCCCCGTCTTCTGGCAGCTGAGTCTCCAGTGCTGCCACCTCCCTCTCCAGCTGCTCGACCCTGGCCTTCATCTTGCGGCTGCTTGACTCTAGTTCCACCATCAGTCGAGCTAGTTTGGTTTGCAGCACCTCCAAGTTGCTCTCCAGCCTTTTAATCTTGGTTTCCACTTTCTCTTCCTCCCGCGGCTCTCCCTCCCCACTCTGCTCCAACATGCCCATCTTGGTGAGGATCTGTCTTCCTTTCTCCTCCAAGTGATGTTTGGCTGCAGGGAACTCAGATAACACATCAGTTAGATCTTCCTTGGACAAGCTAAACAGGTCAGAGTAGCCGATGCTTCGGATGTTGGCAGTGCGACGGTTGCCTGACTTGTTACCTGAAAGGAAATAGTAGTTGTCTTTAATCCCAAAGGTTATTAGTAGTAATATTTAAGTATTCCTATCTAACTGTTGTTTCTATATAGATGCTCACAATGCTGGTTTTGTTAGCTAGCTGATACAAATGAATGAACAAATCTGAACAAAGACTGATTCAATTGTTACTGATAGCACTAATAAGCTAACTAGCTTGTTTTGTAGCAAATCAAAAGGTTAAAGGACCAAACAGTGAACCCTGTGGGACTCCGATTGTCAACTTTATAACAGCCAAGCCAACACAGTGAACTAATGTTACGTTTCTTTACTTCACATACATCACTCCTTATTTTTAAATCATGCATTCTCACAATGTAAACATACATTTCTTCTGCATTCCGGCTTTCTAGTTTCACTATCCCACCCCAAAGTACTATCTTCATTTGCCTTCTCATGCCCATTCTCTGGGTCACAGTTCCCAGTCCTGATCGGTCTGAGCACCAGGCTTGGTACTTTATTCACTTGATTTGTACTCAATGTAACTGCATTGTCCAAAAGCACCAAAGTAATATGTCCCTTCTCTCATTACCAAACTGTGTTTGTCTGCTTGAAGTATTTGAAATATTGTGATATTCTGCATTTTAGCACAGTTCTGAGTCTGTTTACCTCTTTCATGAATTAATAATGTACAAGGAATTGTACTTATCTCACCTTTGATGTTGAGGATACTAATTTCTCCGAAGAAATTCCCTTCAGTCAACACAGCAAACTCTGTGACCCCATCATCTGCTACTACTGCAAGTTTCCCCTCTTTTATGATGTACATCTCGTGGCCCACATCTCCCTTTCTGCAGACATATTCTCCTGGACTGAACACCTGCGTGAGAGAGGCATTAGAAAGGTTTTTTATCCCTGAACAATTCTTTTCTACCCTAACTACTTGAGCCAACGTTTTTCCTTACCTGAGGTGTTAGCTTAAGCACCAGCTCCTCCAGCAGACTTTTCTCACAGCTCTGGAAGATGGTGACTTTGGAAAGCGTGGGCAGGTGAACGCTGACCGCGATCTCTGTCCTCAGGTGCACGGGCAGCTGCTGCAGGATTTCATTCTCTCGCATGATCTTCTTGTTTATGTGCAGATGCTGGTACCAGTTGTCGATCCGCTGACGAAGCTCCTTGCTAATGTGATGGCTACGTAGATATGCCTTCACCTGAAATTAAATCGTGTAATCATCATCCATCTTCATTTTATATTCGTTTTTTGGGTCATATATTAAATCAAGACTGTAATACCAAATTCAGAAACAACTTACCAGCTCATGGTTGGGGAAAAATACATTATCACGGTCTCGTAGGCTTGAGATGACATTACCAACATTGCCAACAATGGATGCAAATACTAGCACAGCAATGAGCAGGTCTGCAATCATAAACAAGTACTCCTCTTCCCTTTTTGGCAGGGGGGTGTCTCCTACTGTGGTGAAAATCTGGGCAGAGAACCAAAAGCAGTAAAAGTATTGACGGCGCATGGAGGCAAACTCTGCTTTAGAGATGTTTGGGTAGACCCACAGATCACTTCCGAAACCAATGTAGTTGGAAAGCGCAAAGTAGAGACAGGCATTCCAGTGGATCAACACGAAGATGTAGATCATGAGCTTGGTGATGCGAAAGGTGTTGGGGTAGGAGGTTCTTGTCTCCATGCGATCCAAGGCCTCGTTGAGTCGTGGCATGCGCAGAAGGCGGTTGATCCTCACCATCGGTGTTTGGATGCCAAACACAAAGTAGAGAAGGTCAGTGGGAAGCAGGGAAGTCAAGTCCCGCAAAAAACGTTTAGAGTGCAGGTACTGCTTCTTCAGTTGATTTAGATCTTTTATCAGGATACCCTGATCCAAGTAACCTGGAGTGGGGAGAGCAAGACTTAGTAAGACCCACAGCACACTTCATTAACTGAATTTTGAATTGGCTCTAACTTTTTAAGAATAGTAAATGTACCTGACCTCTATTAAGTTCTGTTCTATTTCAAATATTGAATTCAAAAAGAACATTTACCTGTGTGAACAGTGATGACCATGTCAAGCATATACATGAGGTCTGACAGATAGTCCAGTGTCAGCCACACAGGCAGGTAGCTCAGTGCAATTCCTGTGAAGCATGTTCTGAGAAAACCAAAAGACTGAGTTTCAAATGATTATAGGCAACATGCAAAGATGTATGATATTTACCACATCCCATGCTTTTACCTCAAAATAATGATCACCCAGTTGTAGACAATGGGGAAGATCATGACCTGTAGCCAGACGTAATAAAACCGTTCTGCCGGATCAACCACCCACTCTCCCCAACTGAAAAGAAAAATAGAGCTTAATCAGTCACACCCAAGGTACATTCACATCACAATGAATTATTTAAATTCACCAAAATGTGCAAATATAAATATGAAAACCTCTATATATATTTGGAATCTATAGAATATTGCAAATACTTCAAAGATTAGTTCTGAGTGTTTTTTTTACCTAATAAAGCAATATCACAATATCAATATTATTCTGTGGTAATAATGAGGTTATTCATTTATAAAAGCCTATGATTATACAATGGATGAAATGTTCTAGTTATGGAAAAGGGAAGTGTTTACGTAGATTGCATTAGCTGGGACGTTTATATAAAGATAAAGACTGTTCATCAAAAATTAAAATATTTTTTGCAACATCATCCAATCAAATTATTAGTTACTCACTTAACTTTCAACTTCAGATCCAGGACGATGTTACGTTTCCCTTCATCTTTGGCTGCTTCTTCTCCTTCCTCGTTCACTGTCTGCCCATGATGCCACCGGGCGAGTCTCTGCCATTTGTTCCCTCTAACGTTAACATCACCTGTTTTATCCATTCTCCAAAGTTTAGCAAGAGACTAACACATGCTTCTGAATGAGGCTGAGTGCTGCTGTTGAGCTTCTTCCCTCCTGCATGAGTGTCACACTTTCTTGGACATAAAATAATAATAACAACAACCAAGACGTGCATAAGGCAGCACTGTGTGGTTCACCTAACAACAAACCAGGTGCACTCTGCCTGGTGATGCTGGTCACTATGGAAGGAAAAGCACAACAGATGTCATGTGTCCTCTGGGAGTTCTTTCCTCCCTGTGAGGGAACCAGAGAGGTCCTCTGCACATCCAGAGAATCTGAAGTATGAATCATCTGTTGTTGTTAAAGTTACACAATGAAAAATAAATCCTGTGCAGTGGAGGCCCAATTCAAAAGAGCGGGTTGTCATCTTTCCATGTGTTTTTCTTCGAGAGAGGAGGAGTGCAGCATTGTGTCTGATGGAGTGAGCTGCATCCTGCTATCTGGTTTCCCATGCTTCTTCATATTAAGCTAATTGAATGAGAGACTTTCATCTCGCTGAGCGTGTTCTCTCTCTCTCTCTCACATTTCATAACATTAATATACAAATGCTCAAGTCTGTAAGTGCATCCTAGAGTTAAGTGAACAGCAAAAAACTTGGTACAAACCAATAAATAATGGAACCTGTTGACTTTTTGTTTTAATTGGAAGAGAAACGTGGCATTGATATAGTATTAATTATTTTTAATTATGAGTATTATGAGTAAACGTTCCTCTGACTGTTCAGTGACTCGGTTGTGGAAGCGGGTCGCGGTGCGGGGCGGCTCACCTCCGGCTCCTCGCGCCGCTCGCGCCGCTCACGGAGCTCCGTGGAGCCGCGGTGTGGACGCGTGAAGTCAGGGCCGTGTAGGCGGAGTCAAAGCAAGATGGCTGCGGGAGAGAGGAGAGTGTCTGAGGAATCATCTGATGGGATGTTTATCTCTCGCTAACAGGATGCACGGCGGCCCGAGAGCAGCCCCGCTTCATTCGTCAGCTGCCCCGGCTCAGTGCGGTCAAACCCAGCGGTTGTCCCCGGGTCCTTGCGTCGCCGCTCGCCCCTTCACTGCGCTGACATTGTGGAATTCGTTAGCAGCTAGCCGCTAGCCTCCGAGCAGCGCTAACTCGCTAGCAGGCAGCTAGCAGGTTTTCTGTGGACACCCCGTTCACAACAAACACGAACAACCCGAGGTGAGTGACTCCTGCGTCGACCCCGGCGTTAGACACCTCCAGCTGGGTACACACACACACACACATGGCTGACGTCCCGGAGCCAGCGGGTCATCCGTGCAGGGTCCGCCGCTCCGTAGCCCGCTACATCACCTCGCCATTGAAATGCATTGATTGTTGTTTTCAGGCGGAGGAGCGGCTAACGTGAGATCCAGTGCAGGACGATCACAGGTGATCACAGGTGAAGAGCTGATGTTCAGGACACGGTGTCAACAAAACCGAGGGTTTTTAAACCAAGCTCGTGTTGTTCGATCAGCCTGTCAGACTGAGGGGGGGGCACATGACCCACAGCACCGCGGTGACTGATGGCTGTCTCCGGCCTGATTGTGTGTGTGTGTGTGTGTGGATGCTGGAGTCTTTAGATACGTGGATGCTGTTGTTCCTGGAGCTCACGTGAAGTCAAAGTCAATCTCAGTGAACTCACATAGAGGAGATCAGTCACACTACATGAAGTGCATTGAACTGAAACAGACCATAAATAATAAACATTGTTGGTGCAGCTCCAAGTGCTTGATAAACACTGTAGATACAAGGGAGCTTATTCTAGAACACGTGGCGTTTGAAAGAAACGGAAACAACAAAAAAAAGAAGATAAATAGTGAAATAGAAAATGTGATGGACGACATTAGAGTTCAGAGCTGCCCTGCCTGTTTTAACTCGTGCACACCAGGACATGTCCCACAGAGAGCAGGTGTGGTCTTCAGCTTGTGCACGTTGCAGGAAATCGCACAAACCTTTTGGAGAAACTTTGCGTGTGTCTGAACTTCAGAGACAGTATTCATTTCTTGGCCTGTAGACTTTGTGCTCTGAGATTTTACAGTCTTACTGAGCTGTGTTTTGAGCGCTTACCTTTGACAAACTTTACCTTCCCTGCGGTGGAATCTGCTGTTGAACTTTGAACTCACTTTATGGCTGTTTTAATGAGGCTCTATGTGACTGGAAAATGAAGCTCATTTGAATTTCCATATGTGGCACAGCTCTTATTACTTATTATCATGCGTTTAAGTTAATCTGCTTTGACTCTTTGTTGGTTAAACTCTGGATTTATTTAGTGCTTTAAATTTTAAACAGAAGATTCAGTCTTTTAAAGTTTAAAAGACTGAATCTTCTCTAAATAATGTTATTTTTACCTTTGTCTGACCTAATGTCAGCTGGTGAATCACTTTGTCAGCTGCTGTTTAAGAAATCCAGTGAAGAAAAGCACGTATTGATTTTGGGAAGTCGGACCAGATGTCATTAAATGTGTTACTCCTGTCTCATGACTTCAGTCCACAAGACGCAGTCACAAATACTAACAAATACATGACTTAAAGAACCAGTGTAAGGATTTTCCAATTGTGAAAAAGTAATAGAATATTAATTATCATGTTTTGATGAGTTTATAACGACCTAAACTGGGATCACGTTGTTGTGTTACCTTGGAATGAGCCATACATATCTACAGACATGTTGCACTGTGATGTTTCTACAGTAGAACAGAAGGAACAGTTTGTTTTCCTAATTGCAAGGAAGGGACAGAGTTTTTATTTACATTTACACATTTATTTCAACTACTTTATAGTGTCTATTAACACTGTGACACTGAACTTATGAACCTCATGTGCTCTCAAATACTGAGCGGTGTAAAACTAACACACATCCAAAGATTAAACAACTGACGTGTCATCCTGGGACACTAATGCTTTCAAATATGAAACAGTCATTAACTCGGCAGATGGGTAGAATAGCAGAATTGGCTGAAATGAGCATCCCTAATAGACAGTGACTTCCATGATGAGCAGAAGGTGGACTAACTGGAGGTGGACTGAATGGTTTCCCTGGAAACAACATACTGTAGAGGTTCACACTTCAGTTGTGGTTGTTTAGGAGAACACGGAGGAAAAAATGTCAAAGCTCTTCAGCCAAAATAATTCCTTTGTGAATAAATGGCTGTTTTGAAGGGATGGATGTGAGGAGGATGAGGAGATGTACTCATCCAGTTTGTGTAGCGACCTCTTTCACACTTTTTCAAATTTGTAGAAATGGTAACTGGAAGAAATAATGGATTCATATTTTTTCCATTCATGTGGTGAATCATCTTGTTTTAGGTTAGAGCCTGACCGATGTGGAGTTTTGGAGGCCGGTGCTTGTACTGATTTTAAAATGTTTTTTTTTTTAATAGAAATATAAAGTTTGCATGTTTATGTTTTGTTTTTTTGTTGGTCTACTCAGAGTGCCCGTCCTGACCGGCTATGGAGTGGTGTTGGCTTCAGACTGGATGACAGGGTCTACAGGGAGGACAGGGTCACACAGTTTCTAAAGCAGCAGCGGGCTTCTCTTGGACGCACAGTGACTGGCAGTGACAGCCCATAAAGTCGACCTCCTTTGCCGCCTTCTCTCTGGATACACTTTCCTTCCTCTTCACCCCCCCCTCCCACCTCCCCTCCCCTTCTTATTCTCCCTCCTCTGTCATCTTTTGTTTTTTCTCCCTCCTAATTTCGGTTATACTTTGACCATTTACTGAACCACCTTCCTTCTTCTTTGAGTTCTGACCTGCTGGCTCCGATATGAGCTGGCTGAGCAGGTTGAACCCGCGGGGCTCTGGCAGTCGGTCTGGCCAGAGCGCCACCCCCTCCAGCCCCTGCACCGCTGACCCAGAGACCTGCCTCATGGTGTTTGAGAACCACTGGAGACAGGTGAGCCGAAGACAAACCTCATCGCTTGAATTTAAATCAAATTCAGTTTTTTATTGCATTAAACTGTTGTACTTATTGTCGACTCAACCTTTTTTTTTTACAAACTGATCTTAATTCATAAATCACATCCTAAGAAATTGGTGGAGAAATCTTGGAACGTCTCCCTTCCTTCCACCAAGTTTTCACAATGCTACTGACAAACAAGCAGACGGAGATAAAAAAACTAGGAAAGGGAATTGTTGATTATTGTGTCCACAGTGGATGTGACACAGCTCAGAGTTTCCGTGGGTGGAGATCAGTTAGAATTTGAATGCTCCTTCGGTGAATGATTACCTGACACCCAGAGAAGAACTACACACACATTCATCTGGTCGACTTTAACAGTGTGACTGAGTCTATCCAATCACTGACAGCAGGTTTGTAGGTCACAGAGCCTTGGCACTGTCTCTCTGGTCAGTTTGTTCTGACACAATAAAAGATGTGTGACTGATTCTTATAATGTGGAAGCTTTGGAACTGTTTCTGACCGGATTCTGGATTCTGCCTGGATTCCCACTAATTGTTCATGAAGAAGTTTTTTATAAAAGAAGCTGATTATAACTGACAGTGGCCCCAACAAGATGATTAATTACCTAAAACACAAAGAAGAACATCTCTTATCTCCACAGCCTGTTGTCAGATCTGCAGATTCATCGTGCTGACTGCAGAACCACTTGTTAGGTGTTGATAAAACCCCGGCTTCTCTATTTGTTCCGTTTTTTTACACACTTATGACACAATTCATTTCATTCTATCTTTAAACTCATCTTGCAGTGTCACTGATAGCTTCTTATCTGTCAGTACCTTTTATAAGTCAGTGAATAACTCAAAAGGAATTTTGTCAAATGATATTTTCACAATAACAGATTTTTTCATCGTGTACATTCACACTTGTTATGTTTATATTTAGTTTTATTTAATTGGACAGTCGCATTGGGTTTTATTTAAGTGCCCCAGTATTAAGTGTTGGCCTGAATCATCCCCTTGTTCACTCATTCATCACTCCCCATATTGATTTTGGACACAGCCACTCTGGGAGTGAGCCTCAGACAATGCCAGGACCTTGACCAGAGCTGCCAAAAGACATTCAGCCACCGTTTAGTGTAATCATATGCTTTACCTACTGTGTCATCAACATGTCTGCTGTGAGGAAACAAGGCTCGTTACCCCGCTTCATCAAAAAACATTTAATTTCACCCAGATGAAATACAATTAAATGCTCATCAGAAGCCACACACGTTGGTTTTTTAACTCCTCATCAAGACAATGATGCTAAGAGTTAAACACTGATAATACTCGTCCTGTACTCAGGTCTCTTGGGTGCTGGAGCAGCACGAGCCTTCATCGTCCAGCGACGACCTGACAGCAGTGAGGAATCACACAGACCAGATGTTGTGTCTGCTGGCAGAGGAGAGGCCGGCTGAGAGCCCGGAGGGCGGCCCCAGTGTGCCCCCCATGGGCCCCATACTGGAGCTGGTGGTCACTGAGAATATTCTGGAGTGCCTGGTTAAGTGGCACCTTCGCCGCGGCTTGGATCCCGACAGCCAGGGGGCGCTGCTCAAGCTGTTTGAGATGCTCATCGGCCAGTCCCAGCAGCCTCTGCTACAGCACACAGGCGTTCTCCACCCCTTGCTGAGGCTGCTGGGAGCTTGTGCTGACCCAGATCTTGGTTGTCCTCTGGTCCTGGAGAACAGCCTGGTACTTCTGCTCAACCAGGTAAAGTCACCTCCAGTTTACATCAAGCTGTAGCTCAGTTTAGGGGCCGCATCCTTCTTTGGACGCATTCGTAGATTAATTGTGTCACAGCAGCGTGACGAGAGTGTCCCAACCCTGCTTTCAGACATGCACTGAACTCTGGGGAATTAACAGAGGGGCTGTTTACTGAACTTATATCAGTCTTACTTTGATAGATTTCCGTATTTTGCACATTGTATTATTTTTTCACCACACCACTCATTGAATCCTCCAGGTGTGCGTGACCATGGCCCGGCAGCCAGTGGTTCTAGAGATGTTGTTCCGGGCAGCACCAGCTCAGCAGGGCTCCACCAACCTGCTGATCTTCTCTCTCCTCGTGCCATTCATCCACCGCGACGGAGCGATCGGACAGCAGGCCAGAGATGCGTTGTTGCTGGTGATGGCGGCCTCGGCCAGCCACGAGGCTGTGGCACGCTACATCGCTGAGAACTCCTACTTCTGTCCGGTGAGTGAGTCCAGATCTCATATGTTTTGTGACTTCTCCAGCTCAAGCTTGGTCTTATTCTTCTTTTCCCCCACCAGTACACACTAGTAGAGCCAAACTACCTGTTTGGTCGAAATCATACTTGGATCAGAAGCCTTAGAAAAGCTACTGAATTCTTTACTCATATTCAAGTATCAATTAATCATCTTACTTACAACTCGGAAGAAAAATAGAGATCTAAGCATTTGGTTTAAAACGTCCCCAGTTACTGTCAAGTTTTTAAGATAATTCCCTCTGAGCACTTTTCAAAAGGAAATCTCCGTCCTTTTATTTTTCTTTGATGCTATGATGGTTTTATCCCACTGGTGCATCAACCGACTACTTCACTGCTACTTTGGAATAATCTGAATTAACTTACTCTATTATTTATTGTTGATTTTGACCCTCACAGAATGATGTGAGCTGAGGACAGCTTATAATGTGGGACTCTGGCTTCATTTCAACACTGCTTTTAAGAAAGAGGGTGTGTGTGTGTGTGTGTGTGCGTGTGTGTGTGTTCATGTTCCTCTATCTCACTCTGATGCATCAGTGATGCTGTGTGATAATGGATGAGGAAGTAGATGACTTTGCATTTTGACAAACCATCCATCCTTATCTGCATCTTTCAGCTTCAGCTTAGTGTTCTTCCTGTGAACGTCTTAAAAAAAATAACTACCTCAGTCAACATCACACATTTACAATCTATAAGATAAACACATGCATGTAAAACCCTCTGTATCACCCAGACGCTGCTGATTAACACAAATCCATAATGTCTAAACTTCCTGGTGGAAATCAAAGATCATTTTAAATTAAAACTGAATCAAGTTTTTTTTTGGCGATGGATTTTTTCTTCTAAAACACAGAAACATTTTTTTAATGTAATGCATATTTGTGAAGTGTAAATAAGTGAGGGGAGTTCATTAAGCGAGATCATTGAGCCATGTTGATCTTTGTTGTTGTAGTTCCCCACAGCTGCCACTAGATGTCATATTTCACTCATTGCACTTTAAACTGTGTATTCACTGAACAGGGTTGCACCTTTGTTAACCAACGAACTGATGAGAGATGATGTGACCATCGTTTTAAATCACGCCAAAATCCGCTTTGTCTCGCCATAGTTTCATAATGACCAACATTTTCTATGAACCCACTTACACTAATATAAAAGAGCTAAAACTTTGAGTTTTTGCGTCACTGTGGCTACTGAGAATCACGAGTTCTATCTGATGCCTCTCTGTCTCTCTTCAGGTGTTAGCAACGGGCCTCAGCGCTCTCTACTCCTCTCTGCCCAGAAAGATTGAGGTTCGGGGAGACGACTGGCACGCCCTGCGGCGGGAGGACTGGATCGGCGTGTCGTCAATCGTACTGTTCATGAACTCGCTGGAGTTCTGCAACGCTGTGGTGCAAGTCGCTCACCCCCTGGTCCGCTACCAGCTCCTGGACTACCTCCACAATGGCTTCCTCGTACCTGTCATGGGCCCCGCCCTTCACAAGGTAGATTATCAGATCAAAGTTGCAGACCACCAGTCAGCAGTTTTTCTGGAAGTATTTTTCTGTTAAAAAAACTCTTCCCAAGATTTTACGACGCATTGAGCACCACAAACTATCTGCATGACTAAATCCCCCTCCGAGTTTGTGGGAGGATTGTAATAGATGAATCAAATCATGAGCATCCATGTGAATGTTTTTTTTTCCAGTCGTCGGTGGATGAGATGATTGCCAGCACCGCCTACCTGGACCTATTCCTGCGTAGTGTGACAGAGACTTCCCTCCTCAAAACCTTCCTGCGCTTCATCCTGCTCCATTGCCACGACAACGACACCATCCTGGACACACTGCTCACACGCATCAGCAGCAATTCAAGGGTCCGTATGTATATACTGTGTGTGTGTGTGTGTGTGTGATAGAGCCTCGAGTCCCTCATATGAACCCAGTAGTGTGGGTGGTGAGTGGGCTGTGAACAGAAGTTGATTGAAAATGAATGCATCCATCATTTCTTTTCAGAACAAACAATAGAAAATGTCAAGTCTGCGCTGCTCATTGTTGTATTTTTGTAAACACATCGAAAATGAATAAATCTTCAGGTTCATTCTTTCTGATCCTCCAAAATAAAAACATTCTGTTCTCTGAGTCAATCATACTGTCGTGTTTCAGAAAAAGAAAAGAAAAACTCCATTGGCCATAATTTGCATGATACCATTACCCCTGTGGCAACGCGACTGACGAATTATGATTTGTTTAGAAAATTACAACAGTTGAGCCCCGGGTTATGAAGAATACCTTCATACCTGCTGGTTAAAGTTTTATGACATCATTAAAGGTCAAAGTTTCAAAAATTAAACCCTCGTGATTAAAAATTTTGAGCTAATTATGGTATTTTTCTTTTCCTGTCATATGTAATTTGTCAGTGATATTTAACTGTCTCACCATTATTTCTGACGTGTGTGTTGCAGCTGTGCATGGTCTCACTGAGCCTCTTCAGGACTCTGCTCTCTCTGCACTGTGAAGACATCATGCTGCAGCTTGTTCTCAGGTACGTTTGCACATCTCAGCATCTCTTCCCTCGGCTCATTCAATATGCAAAACACAGAGTGGGTAGTAAATATTGTTCCTTGTACTCAGTGGTTTGTGTGTGTGTGCGTGTTCTCAGGTATTTACTGCCCTGTACCCATGTTATGCTGAGTCAGCGTCGCGCCATCAGGGAGACTGACATTTACGGAAAGTCGGCAGACAAGTTCCTCTCGCTCATCCCTGAGTGCTGTCGGCTGGATGCGACGCCCTCTGCCGAGCGAGACGAGGACAATGCATTCTGGGGCAAAGGTGAGCGACAAACACCAGAGGAAAATATGAAGAGAACAACGACGGCTCAGATCAATTTCTTTATACACTTTATGTTGTAAAGTTGGTAAATTCTATATGATGTAATCTTACCAATGATGTTAAAGAGTAAATAACTTTTTAAAAATGTATTTTGCCATCGTACAGTGCTGAACAGCCCAACTACAGAGTCTCCTGCCCCGCCAAGACCCAGCACCCCGTCCCGCTTAGCCTTCTTCATCCGCCAACAGAGCAGTGGAGGAGGATCAGGAGGAGGTGGTCCCTCTACGCCCACCAGCATGGAGCCGCTGCAGTCGGGTCCTGCCAGCTCTCACCCTTTGTCCCCAGAAAGCCCGATGCACCAGCTGCAGACACACACCGAGTGTCTGGACTGGGACTCGGGTTACCTGGAGTACCTCAGAGACGCTCGACGAGGCATCGAGCTCTGCTCCTGGGCCTGCAGAGACTGGTCAGCACCCTATGATGGAGAAAACCCCTCCTCAATCACAGCCCCTCCACCCCCACCTCCCCCTACCTCCAATCCCTCCATGGCCATGTTGCCTGAGCACTTCTCTTTTCATCAGGGAGGAAGCAGTAACACCCCTCCGGTCCAGCAGAGGGCAGCCATTGTGGCTGCTGCACGGTCAGAGTGGAGCAGCTCGGAGCGGGACAGCGGAGAGTGGGACATTACGATCGGCAAAAACAGCTGCATCAGCCTCACGCCTCGCTCCAAGAAACGCAGCCTGCAGAGGGAGGAGCTCTTGCCGAAACCAGTACCTCCTCTCGTCCCGTCTTCCTCGTCTTCAGCCGCCCCTCTAACAAGTTCCCACGGCGCCTCGTCCCCAGCTCCTCACCTTCCCACCTCAGCCATCACTGTTAGCTACCAGGCCATGTATAACGGAACAATGGGACAGGGGGACGGATGCTCAGACAGTCGTGACCGAGGTCTGGAGGTAAAGAAAGTGAAGAGAGATTTAGGGGAGCAGCAGTATTTGGATGAAAATTCAAATCAAAACGGATCCCTCGTCACACGTCCCTCACAAAGCCGCAGCAGTCTCCCCCAATCCATTTTCAACAGCAGTGACATCAGTGATGCAAAATCCCTGTGCCCTAAACAGATTCCCTCACAGAGCTCAATCTCCCAACAGACGTCTGACACCAAACTGCTGACCAGCGACACATCAAACCCGCACAGCGTCACCTCAGATCTTCCAGAAGCCAACCAGACACAGCAGTCTGTCGAGAGCCTCATCGAGGAGCTGCTAGAGCAGGCGCCGGGGGACCCCCAGGTCCCCGCAGACACAAATGGTCAGGGCATCAGCATCGAAGCCTTCACGCAGGAACTGAGGGAGCTGGAGGACAGGGTGAAGGAACGCTGCAGAACAGCCTGTCTGCAGGAGGGAGCAAACAGAGAGTCCCTGACAGCTGAGCGGCAGGAGGAGGAACAGCAGCCGCCCTCGGCCCTGGAGCCAAAGCTGATCAGCGACACAAAAGCGGAAGGGAACGTGGTGGGCCTCTGTAGTCCTGCCAGACCACTAAACCAGCCGGCCTCGCAGCCATACACAGGTGAGACTCACACGGTTGATAAACAAGTTATAGTTTCATTGATCTCAGCAGTGCCCACATTAGTGCGTACAAACCAATACACTGTGTAATCTACCGCACTGATCACCAGGCTCACATACTGACCCTGTGTTAACAGGATACAAACCTGAGGCAAAGTTAGTTTTTCCACTTGAGAAATTCATTCATTCACCACTTCCAAAATTTTTTTTTGAGGCAGTGATGTGGATTTCATACTGACTTCAGGTTCATCCAGTGACGCATTCCTCTTTCCCTCTGCAGGTCCATTTATGGTGGTTCTGTTTGCCAAGCTGGAGAACATGCTCCAAAACTCACTGTATGTCAACATCCTGCTCACCGGCATCGTGGCCCAGCTGGCCTGCTACCCTCAGCCCCTCCTGAGGTCCTTCCTGCTCAACACCAACATGGTCTTCCAGCCCAGTGTCAAGTCACTGATCCAGGTACGCTGCACCCTTCGACACCTGGGAGATAAAGGAATCCCCTTATTTGAACTGCACTACAGTTCAGTAGCAAGTATTCAGTACAAACTGGAGAGAACAGTGTCTGTGTTTGCTCTTGAAGTGATGACAGTTCTTAGGTTCCTGTTTTTAGGCGTAGTTTTCCAGCCCACATCACTTCTGTGCAAGCTCCAGTTCCAGGAGCACCAGGCCCACAGGCACATTTGCATAGAGTTTCTTTCCATGTTCTATTCTAAGATACTGTAAATGGTAACCTAGTACTGGACTGGACATCTCTGCCAGAATCTGTGAAGTCAGAAATGAAATATTCAGATACAGTAATCAGTAAAAAAAAAACTGTTCATTGAAGATCAATCAAAAGTCTGAAGCTTTGTTTCCTGATTCACGTCAGGTTCTCGGTTCTGTGAAGAATCGCATCGAGGCGTTCGCAGCCTCCCATGAGGACTTCCCTGCCATGCTGAAGAAAGCCCAGCAGTACCTCGTGGCCCGAGGCAAAGTGGACTGGACCGACTCGCCTGCAGCTGTTCCCCCCCTGCGGCGCTCGGATTCATTAGGTGAGAACAGAAACCAGAGCAACTGCACTTACGCATGCAAAGGTTTGGAATCTGGTCAGTCACAGAGTCAAGCCGAACTTTAGGTCAGTTAAACGATGTTTGATCGATTTTTGATTCTGTTTCTGAAAACCACTACATTGCTTGAATTATGAACAGAAATAAATCCCACCTGTGACCACGGAGGTCGCTGCCGCTCAGCAAAAGTTACTAAGTGTGGCTCTAATGTGTTGTTTTCCCAGTGAAGAGTCGTAAGCCATCTCTCGGAGACCTGATCCTTCGTCACACCAACAGCCCGACTCGGGCCCGGCACGCCGCTCAGCTGGCCCTAGCACACGTACGGGACGGCGGCCAATCACTGACCAGCGCGCTGTTCCGGGGCAGCGGGGGGGCATCTGGCCTGGAGAAGCAAGCCGAGGCACTGCGAGTGAAGAACGCCGTCTACTGTGCCGTCATCTTCTGCGAGTTCCTCAAGGAGCTGGCTGCCCTGGCTCAAGAGCACGCCGTCACCCTGCCCTTCCCCCAGAGTCAGGAGGCAGAGGAGTAGAGGGTAAACACAGACTCCTCCAATCTAGCTCTTAGCCTCCATTTTCTTTTTGTTTAGGCTGTAAAATAAGAGTCGCATAGGATTCATCCATCACCAGGGGACGGACTGGAGCACTGAGACTGTCACTGATGAGGTCATGTGCAAAGTCACAGAGGAAAACAGTGGCAAATTTTGTACCAAAATCATTATAGGAAACCTATAGGACTAGAAGTACTGTCCTCACCTGTAAACTAACGATAGTGTGCATATCATGTATTATATTTACATTCTATACACACAAAGTCTCTAGAGATTTGGGAGCTTGTACATACACATACCATGTCCTGGTATAAAAGCCTCAGATAAAGAAATAGGTGCACATACTGGTGCTAGTCAGTACTCTATATTTTAAGATGAAAGGTGCTTTCAGGCGGCACAGAGGAGACGAGGGTTTTATCCTCAACGAAATTATACCAAACACCAAAAAAAACGGCAATTGCAGAAAGTGTGAGCTAGACGGTGAAATACAAAGTGATCCACTCAGCTTCTCGTCCTCCATCAAGGACGGGCCAATAGAGAACGATCGCAGAGAAGACGCAACTCTGAAGAACCTCAAGTGTCCATTTTGTTTCTAAAAGGCTGCAAAGACTCAGTGAGCGAGATGAGAACTGGAAGAGCTGAGGCGAGAGTGCCACTTTCTTTCCTGTGAATCAGCACGACCATCACAAATGTACTGGAAAAGTTCTTTTTTTTGTTTGAAATGTTTTTTCGTTTTTTTTACATTTGCACCATTCTCTAGACATATCAGCAGCACGTGGGAGCAGGCGTGACCGTGGTGGTTTTGTAAAGCGACTCCTCTTCTGCCCGAAAGGTGACGCTGAGTCTTCAGGCCGTCGCGAAGCCATTCACCTGTTGCCATGAACAAAGTCAGCGGGATTGAAAAGGCAGCGCAGCTTTACAGTTTCTACCTTTTTAATGTGTCGTTTAGTCTTTTCAAAAGACTTTAGAGTCGCGGAGGGAAAAAAGGCGAGAAGGGAAAGATTACGTTTTTTTATTTTTGATGATTTCCATTTACTTTGAACTGACGGAAAAAGGTCCTACTGAGGCATTCACTGACTTTTCTTTAAACAGTTGAGCGAAGAATTAGGCTCCGTAAGAAGCGATTTATAATGTCGGTTTTCAGGTTAAGGTTTTAATCTGCTTCAAAATGTTTTGTCTCTTCGGGTGAGACGGGCCAAACGTTCATCTTGAAATTTAACATGCTGCTATTTTTCTTTTTCTTTTTTTAAACACTAACACCCAGTTTTGTTCGAATCATTCTTTCTCTTCGTGTCGTTGTTAGGTACCAAGTATTAAATGCATGTAGAGGATGTGGAGGAGTCCGTGCCTGTGATTGTGAGCGGCTTTTTTAATTTATTATCTTGTGTCAGAGATTGAATGAAGTTGCAGTCACAGTGAGAAAAAACAATTTGCCAAGTTCAAATATCCTCGTTCGACGTCGAGGCTCGGAAAATGTTGCGTGTGGGGGGGTGGTTTGTAAGAGACGGTGATTCTTCATTTTTACAGGTCTGTAATTTTTCTAGAAGATTATTCGGAAAGCAACCTGTGAAATGAAGCACGTCACCGGAGCGAGTGCGTTGTTTGAATCCGACTGCCCATGACCCAGCTTTTTGTGAAGTAACTTGTTTTTTTGCACATCCTCTCTCAACGCTCAGCAGCGGAGAAACTGCCCGCTCGGTCTTAATCTCTGAAACTGACTACCACATCATTTGTTGACAGCTTTCCTCTTTCTCAACAAGTTGAAGCCGCCTCGACTTGTCAAAGCCATAGCCGTGATCATCCTGTTTGTACACGTAGTCCTTCATCACTTTTCTACACGATTTCTAGACACATTTTGTAACACCCCCGTGTTTGTTTCCATAAGTGAGTTGGGAGTCTCTGCATGCCCGTTAAGATCAGGTTTAGGATTGAATAATGGATTAAATAGCGTAGGGTAAGTTTTCTTTGGTTTGTGCAATAGCGCCGAGGTAACGTTAGCTTCCATGCAGTAGTTTCTTCAGTGAGTCATCCTGCAGAGATCAACGGCGATGAACATGTTTCACACTGAATGTTTGCTCTCTAATCAAATCGGTAGAGAAATCGCTTCTGTGTTTTACCCGCTGCCTTCTGTCCGTCCATCTGTTCACCGAGTCTGATGTACATCCACGTGTTCAGAACGAGATTCATTTCCCCCTCGGTCCGTGGGGAGGGACAAAAAAAAAAGGCCAGCAGGTGGCGCAGTAATCAAAGTTTCCCCCTGTCTTCACACTCCAGATTGTGTTTTCTTTTCTCTGAGAGTTCTGTTAAAGTTTGTATTTGAAGCATCTTGGTGAATGTGGCTCGGTCACACTGTCAGTGGTTTGTATGTAACTCGTACACATGTGTAGACGCCAAAGACAATTTTCTGTGACAACATCGGAATCTCCCTGTGTCTTTAAAACCGGTCGCAGACAGTTTCTTGGGACATGGTCTTGACAGTTATTCATCTTATTCAGTTTATGTTTCATACGTTGCACCTCGTAGATCGTAAACTTCCGCCAAAGGCCCAACAGCCCCCTAATGAAAACACTTAAATCAGCTGAATCTGGATTTTGATTTGGATCCCCTGAACATCTGTGAAAATCCAGATTTATTATTATTTTTCCCAGGTGAAGCTCGGACAGGGAATCTTTTTTTTTTTGCTCAGCGACCCTGATTCTCAGAAGTTCAATTGTCGGCATTGATCCCGTGTGAAAGAACATCTTTCTGGTTTTTAGTCCATTTGCATGTCAACACTTTCCACAGTCATTTCTCACTGTGAACTCTTTGTATTTATTTATTTTTTATCATTCACTTGTTTTTCATGATAAAAAAAGAAAAGACATAATTGTGACCATGTTTGTAGCGGGGTGATTTTTCTACGAGGGATTATTTCTACCTGGGACTTGAGCTGTCGGATGAAAGCGAAGAGTAAAATAGAAAATCAAACTTCACACAGTGAAATAAAGCCTGTTTGAAATACAGTAACTGAAACGGTTTTAAATTTGCATTTGACAAAGGGATTTACATTTTAAACAAAGCAGCAACTATCACAGTTGGACGCTGACGCCAGAGCAGAAGTTTCTAGCTGCTGTTCCTCTAATGGCCCCAATAGAAACTGTCACGGAAGAAAAATCTGACTGTAGTGAAGTGACAGAGAAACTAATTATGAACTCAATACAAAAAGGTTGTCTGTAATATAAAGCCTGAGGACCATAACAAGACAGGGCCTCGAGATGAGCACAGTCATAGTTTGAACACGTTGATTTGATAAACGGGCGTCTCAGTCATGGTGGTTGCTGTTTATTGAAGAACTAAACTGCCAAAATTCAAAATAAATAAATGACTAAATAATAATAATAGTATTGTAATTCATAAATCTAATGTAGGAACATTTATAAATGAATTGATAAGTAAAGAAAGAAAGAAAGAAAGAAAGAAAGAAAGGCATGAAAACATAAACAGCTTTTTTCTTCAGAAGAGAACTGAAGTTCAATTAATTCAGAAATTCAGTTTTCAAGACGCTTCAACATTTTCCATCATTTATTTTTTAATCACTTATTTGTGTTTTTTCAACTTTTTTTTCTATGTTTATTTTACATTTTGGCAGTTTTGATGTTCCTCAGTAGTTTCCTTGTTTCCTCACCTCAGCTTCACTCAAGACTCCAAATGATCCTTTTGATAAAACTGTTGATTTGTTGAATCTTTTTGTTTCATTGTGTTTCGACTGTATAAACTGACAAAGATGGTGCTGAGAGTTCAACCCAAAGCTACGCTTCAGAAAAACCTTTCTCGCTCTCTTCACACGGATTTACTTGAACGCTACAGTTTTTCAGATGAATATAAAATTATCTTTTTTTTTTTTTAGTTGCTCTTTCATCCAGAGCATTTTAATTTTGAGTTGCAGTGTTTTGTTTATTCAAGGGTACATGGAAACACACAGAACTAAAAACAACTCACATTTTGAAAACTTAAAAGCAGCTGAGCTTCATGTGGCGAAGTTGTGAGGCCACTAAACTTTAAATGCACATATCGTTCAGTTCAGCAACTCACCGATTCACTAGAATCTCTTCTCACTCCTGATCTCTCAATGTCAGAAACACTTCGTGCCATGTTTTTAGATTTTTATTTCAATTCAAGGATTTGTATTGCTTATCATGGGATGTACTGCATCTTCACTCGTTTTTCTTTCTTCCCTCCTTTCTTTCTTTGGAAAGCTTTGACTTTCCACTAACATTTCTCCCCTGTGATCTATGCAAACATGCTCTAATGTCCCCTGGTTGAATCTGAGAAGATGATGTGGACTGATTTAATGTGTAAATACTATAAAAATGAAAAAAAAGAAAGAAAGAAAAAAGCAATGGGTCAGAAATGCCGAGGTGTGAGAAATAATCAACGGGTCAGAATGAAAATCACGATAAAATAATGTAATGATGTTGAATGTTGTCAGAAATATTTTTCTATATTTTGAAATCATTAGAAAAAAGGACAAAATACAAAGTGGGAAAAAGCTGTCAGAAGAACACTACAAAGGGAATGTTTTTATTAATTTATAAATTCTTT